GGGGGGAAGAGCCGCCGTCTCTCCGTTCGGCTGGGATGGCGCAGCGCCGAAATGCTGCGTTGGGCCGCGGTGGTCCCGGGGGGTCCTTCGTACCCCGCAAAACCCGTGGCTGCGGGGCACTGGGCGGGGATGGAAGCCCCCAACCCAACCTGCGGGGCTTTGGGGGGGGGGGGCACGGCGCTCCCTTCCCGGCTGCTGCCCTCTAACGGCGGCGGCTCCGCTGGAAGATCGCGGCCGGGGGGGGCGCGGGGGCGGCGCAGCCGCGGCGACGCGGGGCCGGGATGCGGCTGGATGGGGCTGCGCGGGCTGCTCGCCCTCCTGCGCGCCGCCGCCCCCTCGGCCGGGGATGAGGTAGGGTCGCACCTGCTGCCCCCCTCCCCCCCCACAGATCCCCCCCCTCCGCCCCCCCAAATCCCCGCCGTCCCCGGGGCGCGGCTCCATCCCGGTTGCCGGTTGCCATCCCGATTGGGGCTGCGGGGACAAAGCGGGGACAATGCGGGAGATTTGCGGGCGGCCCCCGGGCTGCGGGGGGCACCGATCGGATCGTCCCCATCCCCGTTCTGCGCCAAGAGGGTGGGAGGCGGCAGTGGGGGGGGGGTCGGTGGGATCTCAGCGTCTCAGCATCGCTCCCTCCCCCCCCTCCAATGCCAGCCCTCACCCCGATCCGCATCTCAGCCCCCCCGCAACGCACCCCCAAACCTGCCCTTATCGTCCTCACCCTTCAAAGCTCCCCCTCAGGGCCGCCTCCCTGCACCCTGCCCTGCATCCCCACCTGTCCCCGGTGTGGGGGAGGGGGGGGGGTCCTCACATTGGGGTCCCTGGTGGGGAGGGGGGGGGTCCCCAGAGCTCGGCTTTTGTCTGTGACGTGTGTGCGTGCAGCATCCGTGTGTGCAGTGCCGTGCATGCGTGTGCATGGGGAGGGGGGGGCAGGATCTGTGCACGAGCTGTGAGCGTGACATACGTGTGCACATATGTCCCCATGTGTGTCCCCGTGTGAAGCCCCCGTCCCTGCATTTCTTCATCCCCCCCCCCCCCCCCCCCCCCCCCCGGGGGGGGGCGGGGCGCCGGGCGGCGGGGGGGCGGGGGGGGGGGGGGGGGGGGGGGGGTGGGGGAAGGTTTGCTGTGGTTGGGGGTCCCCTGGGCTGTGCTCACAGCCGTGTCTATCAGAGGAGCTGGGGACAACAGCACGGTTTGGTTAACGTCCCTGGGGGGCTGTGAGCCGCAGCCGGTGGGGCTCAGCTGTGGCTGCTGCAGAGCTGGGGCCGTCCCTGCTGTGACACCGCTGTCCCCCGGTGCTGCTGTGGGGCTGCAGGGAGCCGAGGTGTGTGGGGATACGTGGGGATATATGGGGATATATGGGGATATGTGGGGATACGTGGCCCCCACGGTCCTTCTTGGTCCTGCTGGGCTGCATGGTGCAGGGAGCAGTGCAGGGAGTGCTGCAGTGAGCAGTGCAGTGGAGCAGGCTGGGCAGTGCAATGGGTTGGGCGGTGTGGGGAGGAGGGCAGGCGGTGCAACGGTCATCCTGCTGCTGCTCCCCCACTCACCATGGTCCTGCAGTGGCCTTTGCTGGCTGAATTCTGCCTTCCTGGCCGGCGCTGAGCGCACAGAGGTCACTGCCACGTTTTGGGAGAGCCAGGTCCCCAGAGGCCCTGAGCCATTGCATCACCCTGGGGTGCCCCGCTGGGAGCGCAGCCCCAGAGCGTGGAGCCTGCGGGTGATACTGGGGCCACAGTGCAGCATTGGGTCCAATGGGACGTGGCTGTCTGGGGGCCAGGAGGGGGGGCACGGGAGCAGAGCTGCGTCTCCAGGCCCCACACTGCAGCCCGGCCCCCTCCCCACCGTATTCTGCTGCTTCACAACTGCAGGTGCCGCGTGCAGCCCCTCCCCACTGGCTGCAGATCTGCAGCTCTGCCAGAGCTGCTGCATTCGGTTCAGAGCTCAGACCCCCCCCCCAGCATCCCCAGACACCCCCCCACAACAAGAATGGGGCAGAAGCTGGGCGGAGTGGGCAGTGCGGGCTGCCCCAGCCCTGAGGCTGCACCAACAGCCTCTCCCCGAGCTGGGGGGGATCCCACACAGTGTCCTCGCCCCACTGGGGGGGATGCAATGCCCCCTGGGCTCTCCACTGGCTCCTCCAGCAGCATCCCGCCCCCCCAAAGGCAGAGCTGTCACTGCAGAGCTGTGGAGAGGAGATGCAGGGGGACGGATCCGTGCCTCAGTTTCCCTTGCTGTGTGATGGGGCGGTGCCCACACAGCCACACATCTCATCCCCTCCGAATGGCTGCAGTGTGACACAGCACCATCTGTGGGATCCCCCAGCACCGACCCTACAGCATCCCCCACCGCCATCCATCCCCACCTGCTGGGGGCTGGGAAGGATCCCGGTCCCAACCCGCGCCATCCCATCTCCCGTTGCCATAGCAACAGGAGGCTGCGCTGGGCCCGCATCCTGCAGCCCACATCCCGCATCCCTCATATTTCATCCCTCATCCCTCATCCTATCCCTCATCCTACGCCCCTCAACCGCCAACCTGCATCCCACGTCCTTTGAAATCCCTCCGCCTGCCATTGTTCCTCCCACATCCCGGTGTTCTGCATCCCTCCCCCCACATCCCACCCCCTCCATCCTGCAGCCACCACCTCCCGCATCCCATGTCCTGGGCTCCTTCTCATAGCACCCCACTGCCCCACGGCCCCAAATCCAGCACCCCATGGGGTTTATCCCCTTCCCAGGGGGTTCTCTGCCACCCCGCAGCGCTATGGGGGGAGGGAAGTGTTGTGTCATGGGGGTCTTCGCCTCGCTGTAGGGAGGGCTGTGGGGTCTGCAGTGCTTGGGATGTATGGAGGGAGAAGTGGGAAGGGCATTGTCCCGGGGGGGGGGGGGGCACAAATGGGCTGCATGGGGTGTTGGAGAAGCGTGGCTGTGGAAAAAGACAAAGGCAGCACATTGGGATCGATCCCAACCGCTGCCCCGGGCGCCCAACGTCCCCAACCCCACACTGTGGGGCCAAGGGGGGGGTGAGCGGGGGGATGGAGAGGCTGAGTGTGTGCACACCCATTGCACACGCACTCGTGCGCACACGTGGCTCTGACGAAGGCAGCACGGGGCCATCGTGCTCATTGCCACCACCAGAGCAACGCGTGGGGGGCGCAGAGACCCCCATCCCCACCCCTGCCTGCATCCCCCCCCATGGCCACGTGCGGCAGCACCAGGTGCCCCCCATCAGGTGGGATGGGGGATCCCAATATGGGGAAGGGGATGTGGATGGATTTGGAGGGGGGGGGGGGAAGCAGAGCTGGGGGGGCTCCGTTTGGACCCAGGGTTGGCGGTGCTGCGGGTGGGAACAAAGCAGTGGAATGTCAGGGAAGACAAAAGCGACACAAAGGCAGCGGAGAGCTGGGGCTGCAGCTAAGGGTCTGTCCTTCTGGGACACCACGGGGGGCTTTGGGAGCCCCATGGCAGCAGCCACCCCCATCCCAGGGCTGGATGCAGGGAATGCCTTCAGCCCAATCCCCCCTCCCCACCCCGCAGGCCCTGGAGGAGCTGAAGATGTCTGGAGCAGCCTCATACGAGCAGTTGGTGCGGCAGGTGGAGGCGCTGCGCAGGGAGAACAGCCACCTCCGGCGTGAGCTGCAGGACAACTCCCAGCACCTCTCCAAGCTGGAGAATGAGACTTCGGACATGAAGGTGAGATGGGGCACGGGGGGCTCTGTGCTGCGGGAGGGGGCACACAGGTGGCTGCCCCTCCGTGTGTGTGTGTGTTTAGGAAGTGCTGAAGCACCTGCAGGGGAAGCTGGAGCAGGAGGCACGGGTGATGGTGTCCTCGGGGCAGACGGAGGTGCTGGAGCAGCTGAAAGGTGGGTGCCACATGGAGGGGGGGGGAGAGAAGGGGAACATGTGGGGCCACGGATCGAGCCGGCCATCCGCTGCCATCCCCATCCCCAGCTCTGCAGATGGATGTGAGCAGCCTCTACAGCCTCAAGTTCCCAGAGGTTGCAGTGGGGGCCGGGGAGGACAGCGCGCAGCACGGCGCACTCCATGGGGACGGCACTGGGGACGTCGGCAGGGCCACCCTGAGGCTGCTGGAGGAGCTGGACAGGGAGAGGTGAGTGGGGGGGAGGGGGCACAGGGATAACCCGATGTGGGGCAGCGCCGAGCTGGGCTGTGTTTCACCCAGGTGTTTCTTGCTGGGGGAGATCGAGAAGGAGGAGAAGGAGAAGGTGTGGTACTACGCACAGCTGCAGAGCCTCTCCAAGCGCCTGGAGGAGCTGCCCCACGTGGAGACGGTGAGCGGGGACCTACAGGGTGCAGGAGGGGGGGAGTCCTGCCCCCACCTCACCTCACCCAGCCCTGTGCTCCCTCCCCCCTGCAGTTCTCCATGCAGATGGACCTCATCCGGCAGCAGCTGCAGTTCGAGGCGCAGCACATCCGAGCGCTGATGGAGGAACGCTTCGGGACGGCGGATGAGATGGTGCAGCGGGCACAGGTTGGAGACCTGGCTCCTCTGCTCCCATCGGGGCCATTTCCCACCTCCCAACCCCGTCCTGCCCCCCCGGCCCTGTGCAATCCTCACCGCCACGCGTCCTCGCACCCAGCTGGATGCATCCTTGCAGCATCCCCACGCGCCCATCCCCCACTGAGGCACTTTGCACTCAGCTTTTTGCAGCCTAGCCGTGCACATCCTTGCAACCCCCCCTGCTGCAGCCGCCCGCTGACACCCCTGCATCGTGCCTCCCACTGCCTGCGGGTACCAGGGGGTCCCAGCTCTCCCTGACACCCTCCATCCTGCACAGATCCGGGCATCCCGGCTGGAGCAGATCGACAAGGAGCTGATGGAGGCTCAGGACAAAGTGCAGCCACCGGAGCCTCAGGTAGCGGCGCTGGGGCTGGGCAGGGTCACAGCGAGGTGAGGAGGGGACAAGGCGCAGCCCCCCCCCCCCCGCCGATGTCCCCATCCCTGTCCCCACCACCCGCCTGCGAAGGCACAGCCATGGCTTTGTGTGTCTGGGCACCGTGAAATGGGCAGTTGCCATGGAGACGAGAAGTAGGCCATGGTGAGCGGCAGGCGGGCGGCCGCGGGGCTCCAGCAGCATCTGCCAACGGGAGAGACAGAGGGGAGGGCACCGCCACGGCCCCCCACCCCCATCCCTGCTCCTCCATCACCCCAGCTCCTCCCTCGCCGTCACTCCTGGCCCCTACGTCACCCCGTCCCTCCAGCGCTGTCCTCGTGCCCCACAGGTCTCCCCCCATCCCCTCGCAGTGCTGTGGGTTGTGCACTGCTGTGCCCCCCCCCCCCGTCCCCCCTCTCCCCTATTCCTCCCGGTGGCAGCGTTCCCCATCCAGCTTCAAACACTGCGGTGCCATTTGAGAAAGTGCAGCGAGCAGAAAACGCTGAGTGTCCCACAATTTGGGCTCTGAAAGCAGCTGGCCCACGGGGAGGGGACACCAGTGGGCATCGTGCAACCCCCCCCCCGTGCTCCCCAGCTCTGCACAAAGCTGCCGGGCACAGAGGAGGACAGCAGTGCAGACGTCCCGACGCACCCAGAGGACGGGGGCAGCAGCAAGGTGAGGGGAAGCTGCACCAAGCAGGGGTTGGAGGAGGGGTCACGGTGAAGCCTAACCCGACCCCCCTGCAGGTGGAGGTGGTCTTCTGGCTGCTGTCCATGCTGGCCACGAGGGACAAGGACGACATGTCGCGCACACTGCTGGCCATGTCCAGCTCACAGGAGAGCTGCCTGGCCATGCGCAAGTCGGGCTGCCTGCCGCTGCTCATCCAGATCCTGCATGACTCCGACCGTGAGCCCGGCCCCCCCGAGAGCCCCACCGGTGCCAAGGATGCCCGCATGCGCGCCAACGCCGCGCTGCACAACATCGTCTTCTCGCAGCCTGATGAGGGGCAGGCCAAGAAGGAGATGCGGGTGCTGCACGTGCTGGAGCAGATCCGCTCCTACTCAGAGACCTGCTGGGATTGGCTGCAGATGCAGAGCAGGGATGGGGGCAAAGGGCCCGAGGGCAGCACTGGTATGGGGCTGGGCAGGGCTGGGCAGCTGTGTTCAGGGATGTGCAGAGTGTGTGTGTGTGTGTGTGTGCACAGCACGTGTCAGTGCGTGCTGGAGGAGGAGGTGATGCTGTCCGTGTGTGCCAGGCACCCAGGTGGCCCCATCACTCCCCATTGTCCCCACAGCACCGGTGCCCATCGAGCCCCAGATCTGCCAGGCCACCTGTGCCATCATGAAGCTCTCCTTCGATGAGGAGTACCGGCGTGCCATGAACGAGCTGGGTAAGGGGTGGGATGGGGTGAGAGCAGAGATGCTGGGGAGCCCAGTGGTGCCCAGGGGGCATCTGGCCACTGTGACCCCATCCCATCCCACAGGTGGGCTGCAGGCGGTGGCTGAGCTGCTGCAGGTGGACTACGAGATGCACAAGATGACGAGCGATCCCCTGAACCTGGCGCTGCGGCGCTACGCAGGGATGGCCCTCACCAACCTCACCTTTGGGGACGTGGTCAACAAGGTTGGTGGGGCCAAGGGGGTGGTGAGAAGTGGGGCCAGGGCAGCACGGGGCTCAGCACATGTGTCTCCCTGCAGGCAACGCTGTGCTCACGCCGGGGCTGCATGGAAGCCATCGTGGCCCAGCTGGGTTCCGACAGCGAGGAGCTGCACCAGGTGGGTGCCGCCAGGATGGACGGGTGTGGGGATGGTGCCCATCGCAGCGATGGTGCCGTGCCCACACGCCCCTTGTGCTCCGCTCACCCAGGTGGTCTCGAGCATCCTGAGGAACCTCTCCTGGAGAGCCGACATCAACAGCAAGAAGGTGCTGCGGGAGGTGGGCAGCGTGGCGGGGCTGACACAGTGCGCGCTGCACGCGGCCAAGGTGAGATTTGGGGCTGGTGGGGGTGGGCACTGCAGCACGGCTGGGGCTGAACCCCCTTCCCCAAACAGGAGTCCACACTGAAGAGTGTCCTGAGCGCGCTGTGGAACCTGTCGGCGCACAGCACAGAGAACAAAGCCGCCATCTGCGGTGTGGAGGGGGCCCTGGGCTTCCTGGTCAGCACCCTCACCTACAAGTGCCAGAGCAACTCGCTGGCCATCATCGAGAGCGGCGGCGGCATCCTGCGCAACGTCTCCAGCCTCATTGCCACGCGCGAGGACTACAGGTGGGGGTCGGGGGGCACGGTGTGGGGTTGGGGTGCACGTTATGCCGATGGCTGGACCTCCCCATCCCGTCCCGTTCCACCCTGTCCCTCCCATCCCACAGGCAGGTGCTCCGGGACCACAACTGCCTGCAGACGCTGCTGCAGCACCTGCGCTCGCACAGCCTCACCATCGTCAGCAATGCCTGCGGCACGCTTTGGAACCTGTCTGCCCGCAGCCCCCGCGACCAGGAGCTGCTCTGGGACCTGGGGGCGGTCAGCATGCTGCGCAACCTCATCCACTCCAAGCACAAGATGATCGCCATGGGCAGCGCGGCCGCGCTCCGCAACCTGCTCACCAACCGGCCCCCCAAGTACAAGGACACAGCCGTGGTCTCGCCGGGCTCCTGCATGCCATCTCTGTACATGCGCAAGCAGAAGGCGCTGGAGGCCGAGCTGGATGCCAAACACCTGGCTGAGACCTTTGACACCATGGAGAAGCAGAGCTTGAAGAGCCAGAGCGCCAAGAAGCCGCTGCGGCACATGGAGAGCCTGGTGAAGGATTACGCCTCCGACTCGGGCTGCTTCGATGACGATGAGGTGCCCAACATCTCCACTGGTGTGGAGACAGCCAGCGCCTCCGTCCTCTCCATGTTCCTGGGCTCCTCCTTCCTGCAGGGCCAGGCGCTGCCGCGGGCTCTGGCGCACAGACGGTGCCCAGAACCGGAGAAGGACGATGGTGGGAAGCTGGCGGAGCCCAAGAAGCCGCCGCTGCCGGAGGACGACGTCTCTTTGGCCGCCGAGAAGCTGGCCAACAAGATCTCCAGCACGGTGGCCAAGATCGACAAGCTGGTGGAGGACATCTCCACCATGCACACGTCCTCGGATGACAGCTTCAGCCTCAGCTCAGAGGACCACGGCCTGGACTGGCAGTACGGCCCCGAGGAGCCGCCCGAGGTGCGCGCCCACTCCTGCTCCCCGTGCCGTCTCTCGGACACCGGAGGCTCTGCCAGGCGTGAGGGACTGAGCCGGGCGCGGGCGCTGCTGCGGCTGAAGACAGCGTACACCAGCCTGTCCACAGACAGCCTCAACAGCGGCAGCACCAGCGACGGCTATTGCCCCAAGGAGCACATGAAGCCCTGCACCAGGGCCCCCTTTCTTGACTACAGGGATGAGCTGCAACGCTACCAGAAGCGGCCCAGCAGGCTGGATCTCAAGAGCATCCTGGGCACCAAGCCTGACCCCCCTGTGCTCAGGGCCGAGCCGGATAAGCCAGAGCAGAGGGAGGCGCCAGAGCGGGGCAGGAAGGCGGTGACCTTCCCCAGTCCCAAAGCGCTGGAGACCGGCAGGAAGAAGGAGATGGGCGGCAAGCTGCCCGCCGACCCACAGGTGCACACCATCAAGCTCTCGCCCTCGTACCAGCACGTGCCCTTGCTCGGGAGCCTGGCCAAGAGCAGCACAGCCATCAGCCACCACACCTCGCTGCTGGGAAGGAAGCAAGCCTGGCTGCCCCCGGCCCTCCTGCAAACAGCCGACACCCTCAGCAAGATCCCTGAGAAGCTGCCAGCCCAGCCCCTGGCCCCGGCCGAGCAGGAGTCGGTGCAGAAGTACTCGGTGGAGGACACCCCCATCTGCTTCTCCCGCTGCAGCTCCCTCTCCTCCCTCTCCTCAGCCGACAATGTGCTGGATGGGCAGAGCCACAGCGAGAATGACCTGGACAGTGACTCCTCACTGGAGATCCTGGAGATGGATGAAGGGGATGGGGAAGCTGAGGACGCGAGGCAGGAGAAGGAGAAGGCGGAGATGGGTCCGACAACACCGGTGGGGATCTCCCAGCCCATCACCATCCCCTTCCCCAAACGTGACAAGCTCTTCCTGAGGGATGCATCCCCCTCCCGCCAGGAGGACCACACTCCCTCCAGCTCCTCAGAGAACTACATCCAGGAGACGCCGTTGGTGATGAGCCGCTGCAGCTCCGTCAGCTCTCTGGGCAGCTTCGAGAGCCCATCCATCGCCAGCTCCATCCAGAGCGACCCATGCAGTGAGATGATCAGCGGCACCGTCAGCCCCAGCGAGCTGCCCGACAGCCCGGGGCAGACGATGCCACCCAGCCGCAGCAAGACGCCGCTCTTCGAGCTGGGCTGCCCACCCGAGAAGGAGACCAGCCAGTTCAACATCCAGTGGGAGAACAACGTCAAGAAGTTCATGGAGATCACCGACTTCAAGGAGCGCTTCCAGCTGCCCCAGGACCTGGACTCCATGGTTTATTTCACAGTGGAGAAACCCAATGAGAATTTCTCGTGCGCCTCCAGCCTGAGCGCCCTGCCGCTGCACGAGCACTACGTGCAGAAGGACGTGGAGCTGAAGCTGATGCCCACCTTCCCCGAGAAGAACAGCCTGAATTTTGCAGTGCACGAGGAGCGGGAGGAGCAGGAGGAGCAGCTCCTGGAGGGCCAACGCCGGGCAGAGCCCAGCTCTGACGATGACATTGAGATCCTAAAGGAGTGCATCAGCTCCGCCATGCCCTCGCGCTTCTGCAAGGTGAAGAGCTCGCTGCTCTCCGGGCAGGTCCTGCACCCGCACACCAAGAAGCCCCTCCACGTCCCCGTCTACATGCTGGTGCCCACACACACTGCTGTCCCCAAGCACCTCCGTGCCACCGCCCGGGAGCTCTACAAGGATGATGACTCCTGCACCGATTCGGCTGATGGGACCCCCGTCAACTTCTCCAGCACAGCCTCGTTGAGTGATGAGACCCTGCGTGGCCCCAAGGAGGAGGCCGAACCCCCCCACGGTGCGGGAAGGAGACGGGAAATGGGCACGGCGGCATCGCCGGCACGGAGATCTGCTCTGGGCAGCTCAGCGCACACGCGGCCCAGCTCAGCCTGCAGGGGCAGGGCGGGCTCCAGCCGGGACAGCCCCGTGCCGCCGGGCAGAGGCGCGGAGGGGAAGCGGGGACAACCCGTGCTCGGCACGGAGCCAGAGGTGGGGAGGAGCGGCAGCCCTGGGTCGCGGCCGTGCAGCCTGCCCGGGAGGAAGGACGGTATGCGGGAGGAAGGGGCGGCCTTCCAGTCCCTGTGCCACACCACGCCGACCGAAGAAGCCGTCTACTGCTTCTATGAGCACGACTCGGATGAGCCCGGGCTGGGCAAGGAGGTGCCCGGCGGTGGAGCGCAGCCTGGCCGGGCGCCGCGGAGGGAGCGCTGCGGGGGCTCCGTGCCCAGGAGGGAGCCTGAGACGAAGGGCAAAGCGAAGAGCAAGCTGCAGCACAACCTGATTGCCGATGAGACACCGCCGTGCTACTCGCTGAGCTCCTCCATGAGCTCCCTGAGCGACGGCAACCCCGGCGAGGGTGAGGAGTGTGGTTCAGCCCCCCGGCAGCGCGCAGCGGTGGGGCAGACGCAGGGCCGCTCCCCCAGCCCCAACTCGGAGGACGACCTCCTGCAGAAGTGCATCGGCTCTGCCATGCCCAAGCGCCGGCGGCCCTCGACGAGGCGGAGGACGGCGGAGAGGAAGCAGAAGCCGAAGGGCGGCGCTGGGAGGGAGCGCCCGGCAGAGGGCAGGCATCGCTCCGAGGATTTGGGCTCCGACGGCGGCTCCGACCTGGACAGCGTGGAGTGGGAGGCCATCCAGGAGGGAGCCAACTCCATCGTCACCTGGCTGCACCAGGCTGCGGCGTCGCTGTCACGGGAGCCTTCCTCCGAGTCTGACTCCATCCTCTCCTTCGTCTCAGGGCTCTCAGTCGGCTCCACTCTGCAGCTCTCCCTGGACAGGGCTGAGAAGAAACGCTCTGGAAGTGCGGCCGGGCGGGAGGCGGAGAGGAGGGAGCGTGCCAAGAGCCGCCCGGAGGCGAAGAAGGCGCCGAGCGCCCGTCCTGCTGGCAATGCGAGGGCAGAGAGGAGCCCAGCACCGAGCAAACCCGTGCCCAACCTGCCGGTGGTTTTCCGCGGCAGGACCGTCATCTACATGCCCAACTTGGCCAAGGACGCGCCCAGCCCGCGCTCCACCCCAAAGAAATCCCCCATGGCCAAACCCCCGGCGCCCAAGAATCTGTCTCTGAGCCAGCAGCGTTCCCGCAGCCTGCACCGCCTGGGGAAGCCGCCCGAGGGGGGGGACCTGGCTCTGCCCAAACGCAGCACCACGCCTCCTGCCCGCATCGCCAAAGGGCCGCCGTCCTCGGGCTCGTCCCGCACCTCCACGCCCTCGCAGCACGTGCCCAAGAAGCTGCCGTCGCCCTCGCAGCTCTCCAAGCAGAGCCCCGTGCAGACGGGCAAGACGACCGGCCCCCCCTCCCCGCCCGGCCCCTCGGCCAAGCCCACGGCCCCCAGATCCCCGGCCCCCCGGCAGCACAAGACGCAGAAGTCACCCGTCCGCATCCCCTTCATGCAGAAGCCCAGCAGGAAGGTGCTGCCGGTGCGCTCTGCCATGCCGGTGCTGGAGGAGCAGGAGGGCAGCGGCAAGGCGAAGGGCGGCACGCCGGGGGGGGGCGGGGAGCAGCCGGCTCAACCTGGTGCGGATGTCATCCACTCGCTCCAGCGGCAGCGACTCGGACCGCTCGGGTTTCCTGCGGCAGCTCACCTTCATCAAGGAGTCCTCCAGCCTGCTGCTGCGGCACCGCGCCGAGCTCGGCCCGGCCACCCAGGCCACCTCACTGCCCCGCGGCGCGTCCCCGCAGCGCAGCCGGGCCGCCCTCCCCACCGTCTTCCTCTGCTCGTCCCGCTGCGAGGAGCTGAAGGCGGCCAAACCAGCAGCGCCCGCGCCGCGTCCGCTCGTCCCCAGGGCGCAGCCCGGCTGCAAAGCCCCCGCCGCATCCAAGCCCCCGCGCAGGACGAGCTCCGAGAGCCCCTCCCGGCTGCCGGTGAAGACGGCCGTCCCAGAGCCGTTCAAGCGGTATTCCTCATCGCCCAACATCAGCGTGCCGCGCCGCACCGGCAGCCCGTCCTCCGTCCTCTCCGCTTGTTCCGAGGCGTCGGCGCGGCGGCGGAAACCCGGCGAGGCGACGGAGGAGAAACCGCCGATGGCGATGATGAAAGGCACGTGGCGACGCATCCGCGATGAGGACATCCCGCACATCCTGCAGAGCACGCTGCCCTCCACCGCGCTGCCGCTGCTCAGCGCCGCCGAGGAGCCGCTCCCCGGCCCCAGGAAGACCAGCGACGCCGTGGTGCAGACCGAGGACTTCGCCACCACCAAGACCAACTCCAGCACCTCGCCCACGATGGAGAGCCCCCGGCACGATGGCGAAGCCACGGCGCCCACCAAGGCCGCTCTGCCCATCTCCTTCGGGCACGAGGCGCCCGCCGGGACCTTCCCCGCCAGCCGGCACAGCTCCCCGAGCCGCGCCGCCCGCGTCACCCCCTTCAATTACGTCCCCAGCCCCATGGCGGTGCCGGCAGTGGCTGACAAAGCAGTGGAGAAAATCCAGGCGTGAGCGGCTGCCACGGACGGACCCCGACGGACCCCTCCTGCCCGCGGGGATGGAGACGTGGGACGGCCGGGACCCCTCCCCAGCCCAGACGGGGTTTATTCCAATGCAGCTCCAAAGGTTCCCGTGCTGAAGACCAGGCGAAGCCCCGTGGGTGGGGACCGATCCCTGCAGCCGAGCGCTTCTCAGTGCCGATGGGAGTCCCCGGGGCACTGCGGCCCTAGGGGGAGCCCTCGGGATCGTGTCCCCACAACCCAGAAACACAACAAGCAAAGCCTTAACGCCAGGCTCGCGCCGCACGCTTCAGCTCGCGCACCGGCACGGCACCGCCAGGCATCGCAGAGCCTTTATTGCGGGGACGGGGTCACCTCATCTCGGGGATACAGAGCCAGAGCGAAGCAGGGAGGGACCCCAAATGGCGAGGCGCGGGGCCAGGCTGGGTCCCATTTGTGCTGCTCCTACTGAGGGTGCTTGGCTGAGTGCGGTGCTTATCAGGGCTGGGTGCTCGTCGGGGTCCCGGCTGCTTTGTCACTGAGCTGCTGACTGCCCTGGGGAGGACACGGAGTGCAGAAGTGGCACCGGGGTGCCCAACCCCAAGGGAAGGGTCTGGGCCCCCCCTCCCACAGCACGCAGCCCCCGGCACGGCTGGCAGTGAGGCGCCTGCGCAGCGTGGACACGGGTCCATCCAGGACTGGATTACGCCCACAAGCAGGAGCTGCACTCCCTGCTGCCAGCTGGCCCTGTGCACCCCAGGGTGGGCTGCTGAGTGTCCCCCATCCCGACCTGGGTGCTCCCCAGCCGACCCACGAGTCCCCCAGTCCCTCCTCGCTGCCCACTCATGCCTTTGGTTGGGCTGATCTGCGGGGCCTCCAGGGACCAACACCACCAGGTGCCCTATGGGTGTCTTCAGGGACAGGCAGGGGGTTATGGGGACGTGTAGGGGACACAGGGATGCACGTAGATCAAGAAATAGGACGCCCTGTCTCCTCTTGATGGCCATAACCCAGAACAGGACCCACGGGCAGGATGCCAGCGTCACCCCACACACGTGGTTGTGGCCCCGGGTGTCAGTGCCACCATCCCAGCCCCGCTGCCACCCCTCTGCCCTCTGTGTGACCGTCAGCTTCGTCCCCATCTGTGTGGAATCGCGCTGGGTTTGTGGTGTCCCGTCCCCCCGTTGCTGTATGTATGTACCAAGGATGTTATTTTACCAGGACTCCGGACAGTATTAAAAATTAAATGCAAACCTGTGTAAATAGCCGGGGCTGCTCCATCTGTGCTGTGCAGCCACGCCGCAGCGTGCGCCGGATCCACACACGGTGCTTCACTGCTGAGGTGGCCACCGGGGGCTTGAAGGGATCAGCAGGGTTGGGGCTGCTGAAGGACATAACGCCCGCCACCGCCGCGGGGCGCCCGCACACCAGGGGACCCCCGGAATCACCCTGTGGGAGTGATGGTGATGGCACAGCCTGGCACAAAGCGTCACAGCCCCGCACAACCCCTCCCCTCCCAGCTCCTCACCTTGGTGGGGGCTTTGCCGTGGCCCCGGCCCTGGAAGCAGATCATGGTGGGTGTGAGGTCCCCGTTCCAGAAGCGGCTGTTGTTGCACATCTTCGTGTCCAGCACGGTCACCTCCAGCTCCTGCAGCGCGGCTGCCAGCCCTTTTGGACCACCCCAGCCTGCCAGGCTGCACACGGTGCCCACCGCCGGCTCCCGCCGCAGCAGCGCGATGGGTCGATGCCTTTTGCTGCGCTTCACCTTCCCCTCCAGCTGTGGGCAGTGCGGGGCAGCGTCAGGACCCACCACCGTCACAGCGGCGTCACCGCATCGCCCGGGGTGAGAGTGGGTGGATGTCACCCGGATGAGATGTTACCCGGGTGAGATGTCACCCAGATGTGAAAGTGCTCGGAGGCGTGAGAGGAAATGTCACCCGGCCCCGTGCTGCGGCGCGGTGTGAATTCCCCACTGGTGGCACTTCCTGGCACCAACCGTCCCCACCTGCAGCAGGAGGAGGTCATTCTCCATCGTCTGTCTGTCGTAGCCGGGGTGGGGACAGGCAGCGCGGATGGAGAAGCTCTGGGTGTCCCTGTGCTCCCGCAGCCGGTGCAGCCCCACCACCACCACCATCCTGGAGACATCGGCACTGCGGAACAGAGCGCACGTCCACACGGTGCCCCTCCAAACCCCAGTGCAGCAGCGGGTGGGATGGGATGCGGGATGGGATGTGGGATGGGATGCGGGATGGGATGCGGGATGGGATGCGGGATGGGACGCTCACCTCCACAGGACACAGTTCTCACCTCCGTGGGATGCAGTGTGCAGCCGTCAGCACCCAGCGTGAGTTCAGCAGGGCTCCCCCGCAGACGTGCACCCCCCTGGCCTGCACTGACACCATATAGGGCCGGGAGTGGGGCTTGGCCTCACGTCCCCCGATGATGCGCAGATGTAACCATGCGACTGGGAGAGGGGGAGCCCATCCCACAGCCACTGCTGAGTGGGGATGGCTGCCCCCATGCCCTGCTGCTCCCTGCAGTGACGCAGAAGCCCCGTCGGCCATCCCAGCCCCATTGCATTGCTCACCCAGCCTGGGATTGGGCAGTGCCAGCAGCAGCAGCAGCCCCACAACTGCGCTCCTCTCCATGCTGTGTGCAAAGAGCTGCAAGGCTGTGGGGCCGGGGCAGAGGGCTGCGATGACGTGCGGCATACAGGAAGGGGGGAAGCAGAGTGAACATCTGCAGGTGTGAAATAACACCGCAGAGAAACAGCTCCAACCAACCCACAGGGACAGGCAGCCCCCCCCCCCACGGCCTGGTTCCCATCCTCACCAAGGAAATCACATCCCACTCCCCAAGAAGGGTTTTATTGAGGATTTGTCAAGGTTTGTGATAATTGCAGCCCCAGGCACTTCGCTGCAGTGTCCCACTGCGTGCACCCATCATGGTGTCCCATTCCCACCACCCTGCTCTCACCGCACCACAAGACCCCCACCTACCACCCCCAGCTGCCCCTCAGCTCTCAGCTCTCTTCGGCTCTCCTGGTAGGGCCTGCGATGCTGCCAGGCTCCGCAGCAGCCGCTCGAAGAAGAAAGGGGTCTGATACTGCAGCTGGGTGAGGTGCTGCAGGAAGGGTGGCACCTCCTCCTTCCTCAGCCCCAGGCACACGGGGAGCACCCTGGTGCCACCGCGCTCCACGACGTGCTGCAAGTTCCACTCGGACACCCGTTGGCACCACGCATCCCCCACGGATGTGGGGGACAGCAGGAGGATGCCAACCCTGCTGGCACCGATGGCCTCAGTGGCACTCAGCACAACCGGGGTGCCGGCCACCTGGTCCCAGTGCTCCAAGTAGCCTCGGAAGCCCCTTTTCATCAAGAACTCAGCGATGATGGAGGCGACGGCGTGGTCCTCAAGGCAGTACCAGATGGAGAAGTCGTAGGTGAAGCGATGCCGTGTGGACATGGTGCTGGCAGGGGGCAGAGCTGCTCGCACAGCCACGTGGTGGGGATGAAGGCCGCGGGTGCTTTGAAAACGCAGCACTGTGAACGCGCTGGGAGCACAAGGAGGCAGCCAGGGGGGCTCCCGGTGAGACCCCCGGGCAGTGCCGTGTCCCGACCTCAGAACGCCTTCTGCCGCATCTCGGCGATGTCTCTCTCCAGTGCCGCGCCCGCCCTCTGCAGTTCGTCACGCTTCTCTGCCAGCTCCCCGCGCGCCTCCCGCAGCCGCCGGTTCATCTCCACGTAACCGCGGCACTGCCGGTACAGCCGCTCCTGCTCCTCCACGCTGTCCTCCTGCCCTGTGAGGCGTGGGGGACTCAATGGGGGTTCGGTCATCCCGGCTCCCCGCCCGTCGCTGCTGCCGCGGGGCTCACCTGGCGCGGGGCCGTCACGGTCACCACCGCTGCCCCGGGGAGGCTCAGCCGGGAGCAGGAGGACGGGGTCGGCCGGGGGTGCGCCCCGCACGTCGGCCAGGAGCTGCTCCACGGTGGGCGGCTCGGGGCGGGTGGGCAACACCCGTTTGGCCTTGGAGCTCATGGCGGGGCTCTGAGAGGGAGGGGAGGCTCACAGCCGGGACAGACGGACGCTCACCCCAAAGGCAGATGGCTGCCGGCCCTCCCCGGACCCGCAGCAAGACAGACAGACAGACAGACACACCGACTCCTCCCCCCACGCCCCCGGACGGACAGACCGGCCGACCGACTCTCCCTCAGGCGGACAGACCGATCCCTTCCAGGACAGACAGACAGACAGACTGACATACGCAGCCTCAGCACGGTCACTCCTTCCCCGCCCCGGGATCTTTGCCCCCCGACAAACAGACAGGCGGACAGACAGAGCCTTTCCCACCGCCAGTTGAAGGACACGCGTCCCCCCACCTCCACACCAACCCCGCTCCCCGGACCGACGGACGGACGGACAGACAGACGGACGGAAAGACACACCCCTGACGCCCTCGCTCCTTCAGGACGAAGCCTTCCTCCCCGCTCCGTGGACAGGCAGACGGACAGACAGTTCCCTTTCCCTGCCGTCAGACGGGCACACCTCTCCCCGCCCCAGGACAGACGGATAAACCGCCCCTCCCGGCCGCCGTACCTCCACCGCCCCACGCGCGCCCCTTCCTCGGGCGCGCACCGATGACGTCATCTCCGCGCCACCACCCGCGCACGAAACCACGCCCCCTCTTAAAGGCGCCGTGCCGGCCCGGAGCGCGCGGAGCAGATGGGAGTGGATCGGGAACAGCTTTACGTGGGGGGGGGGGGGGCAACTGAGCCGAGGACGGGCCCGGGAGCGGGGGCCGGGCTCAGACCGGCCTTGTCCCGGTGCCTCATTTGCTCTTCGCTTCCTGTGCCAGCTTCACGGCGGTCCCGGAGGCTGCGGGAAAGAGAGAGCGCCGTGTGAGCGCCGGAGCCCGCAATGAACCCGCCGGGACGGGAGAGTGCGGGGCTGCGGGAGGGGAGAGAGCCTGCCCTATATCTGCAGCGGGGAGCCGGGTGGACTGCAGCAAAGGGGCCTAAAGAGAGGAGCGGGGCTTGTAGGAGCAGGGCTTGCGGCAGCGGGGCGCGGGCTCCGTGCTGGCTATGGAAATGCGGCTGTTACGTACGGACACGGTGAGCTGCGGGGCGACCTCAGCAGCCAGCCGGGCTCTGCTGCTGAGCAGAGTGTGCAGAACTGCTCCGGGAGGCGCAGAAAGAAGAGAGACAACGAAAAGGGCTGGGCTGCCATCATGGCAGGGATGGGGCTACGGCCTGGGGGGGGACAGGAGGGGCACTGAGAGCTGCCCCAGGTTGGGGGGGATGGACCCGCATTACCTTCTCTGGTGATGGCAGAGGCTGCATCCAGTGCTTTGGTGCTGAGGTCGCCGAGCACTGTGTCCACAGCACGGTGGTGCTTGAGGAAGCAGGGGCGGATGACGTTGTGGTAGAGCACCTGTGAGCCATTCCAGGACACCGGGGCCATGCACCACACCAGGAACAGGCACTGTTGGGGGGAGAGGAGCTGCAGAGCCAGGTTGGGACAGCAGCGCAGCTGCTGGGGTGCTCCGCTCCCTCCTGCCAAAGGCTGGAGCTCTCTGGAGGCCCCAAAGCTCAACAGATGAACCCCAAGAACTCAGCCATAAAGGGGAATGCTCCGGCACCTGCAGCCCCCATGAAGGCGTTACCTTCCCAGCGTAGTAGAAGGGGAACCAGTAGAGGAAAATGTCAGAGAAGAATTCAGCTATGCTGAAGACGCCGTAAACCACCCAGTATGTGAGCCACGTGGTGTCATCCTCCTTGCTGGAGCTCTCGATGGCTTTAATGCTGTGGGAGGGAGGGGACAGGTCACTGCTTCTGCAGGTTTGTTCCTACAGCAGGCACGGCCTCCCCACATCCCCAGCCCTTGCAGTGTGCCTGCCCCACAGCAGCTGTGCTGCCCCAGGAGTGACTCTGCCCTCCTCACATTGCCCATCCAGGGCTGTAGAGTCAGTACTTACGAGACATATGCAGGGTAGGCGAAGCCAATGAGGTTGCAGACCAATGAGGCACCATAGCCAAACACCAGGTACAGCCCCAGGAAGGCCAGGGAACCTGCAGGACAGAACCAAGAGCCGGGGATTCAGCACGGGGAGCTGCGCAGAGCTGCATTGCACTGCTGGGAGGAAGGGGTGCACACACCAGGCTTTGCTTTGGTCACCGTTTGTCCTCTCCCTGGCCTGGACTTGCCCATGGCAAGCAGAACACATTCAGGGGGATGGAGGCAGCCCCAGGTGGGAGATGCGTGCCTCCCTGCTGCCCTCTGCTCACTACCCTGCATGTGCTTGTGCTGAGTGTGTTAGGATTCAGCCCCCTGAAAGCCAGCAATCCAGCTTCCCCGTCATTAAATGTGATTGTTAAATTAAAGACAAGGCAAAGCACCTCCCCAGTCCCCAGGTGCTGCATCAGAGGAGCACTTGCTGCCAAACCACCACTGTGGTGGAGCAGAGCACACAGCCTGGTGCTTTCTGTGCCACCCCAGCGGCATCTCAGCTCCTGCACACCCTGCTTACAACACTGCCAGCAGCATAAGCTCCTTATCCTACAGCAGGCAAGAGAGCCGGGACTTAGCCTGTCTGTGGCAGTGAATTAAAGGAAAGGGGCACAGAGGACGGCTCATCCCTGCACTGCTCACAGCAGCAGCTCAGTGCTGGCATGGGCACCTCTGGGCCCGGGGCTCTGCAAGGAGATGGGCGCTGTTCCCAACTCGTGGGAGCAGCCACAGCTTCCCTCCGAGGGAAACAAGCAGGCAGGTTCAGGCAGCTCCGGGTTTCATTCCCTAAAGAGCCTTAGAATGGATTTCACAGGCTAAGTTTAGCCCCCAGAGAAATTTATGTAAGAGCAAAACACAAAGGAGAGGCTCAGCTTGCACAGAGGAGCCTTGTGTGAAGGACAGGGCAGGAAGGAGACGCGTCCTGGGGTCCTAAACCCACAATGACACCAATGTGAGCACAGAAGGAGGAAAAATCCAGCGGAGGAAGGGATTCTGTGCACTATGGACCCTGACCAGGCTGGTGGAGGAGCTGCCCACGCTGCCCCAAGGCACCCAACCCCTGAGCCCCATCCCTGCCTCCCATGTGGGATGGGAGATCACTGAAGATCTTTGCAGCACTGAAAGGAGAGCAAGGCTTGGCCACAGAGCTTGGCAAAGAGGTTTCCCCAGCCATGAGCACAGGCAGCCTGCAGGTGTGTCACAGAGGGGATGCTGTCCTCCCCTTTACCTGGCAGAGGATCCAGAGGCAGCTGCTGGGTCTGTGCTGGTTTAAAAGGTACCGAGCAGCCCCTTCTGGTCCCAACAGAAATGAGGGACTGCTGCAGAGCGGGGGGAAGGGAGGAAGAAATCTGATATTTGTTGTTGAGCAGCGGCTTCACCTTTCCAGACACCGGAGCTGTGCTGCAGGAGCAACGCCGCTGCTCGTCCCCATCACCCACAGCCCAAAGTGCAACCAGAGCCCCAGCAGCAGGCATCTGACAGCCCAGCACTGCTCCAAACTCGTGTCTGCTCCTGCATGCGTCTCCCAGAGGAGCAGTCAGACTCTACAGCAGCCATGGGGCCAGGAACCGGGCTGGGAGCACAGCAGGGAAACCCCAGGAGGTTCCATACGGAAATGCAGAGGCAGATGGCAAGTCATAAACGGGGCCAAGGAACAAACGTGGCCAAGGCTGAGGTGACAGCTGCACCGAGGGGTCAAGTGGTGTCAGGATCAGCTGCCTAGGGAGATATCTCTGGTTTCTCATTAATGAACAAACAGCACGTGGTTAACGAGCAGACCTCTGCCCTCCTGCTTGGGGGGGAGTTGGGGTTGGTCCAACACTGCAGCTGGGCTTCCCCAGGGCAGGGGGATGTGGGGACCCAGGCTGGGCATGGCTGTGAAGCCCATGTGGGGCTCGGAGAGGAGGTGGAAGGGAGGAGAGGAAGGAGAGTGAGGAGGGGAGGGGGCTGCCACTCCCCAAATACACGACGGCCCCCCTGGGCAGCTCCCTCCCCCCCCCCCCCCAGGCAGCGGCCGGGCCCCGTGCTGGGCAGCGCGGGGCTGTCAGCGCACCCAAGGGCAGGGGGGCACCCGAAATTAGAGGAGGGGGCTGAGGGATCCCCGCGGGGCGGCTCCCGAGCTGGGGAAAAAAGGGATCCCGCGGTGGGGCTGCGGGCGCACCTGTAGCCAGGTAGAGCCGGCGGACTCCGGTGCGAGACTCCAGGCGGCCGAGGAAGTCGGAGAGCGGCCCGGGGCGGTCGAGGAAACGCTGCAGGCGCTGCTGCACGGAGCCCATGGCTGCGGGGCTCGCTCGCCTCCGCGCGGCCCCGGGTCCAATGCGGAGCTGTGCGGGGCGGGGCGGGCAGGTGGCGTCGCCGTGTCCGTGGCAACGATCGCGGGGCATGGCGGCACCGCGCGGCCTGGGGGCGGCGTGGGGGCTGCGGCTGCTGCTGGGTCTGGGGTTGGGGGGTGGTCTGGGGCTCCCGCAGGATCTGCCCGCAGCCCGGCCCCGAGTCTACATGAGCAGCTGGGCCGTGCGGGTGGAAGCGGGGCCGCGGGATGCGGGGCGGTTGGCAAAGCGGCACGGGATGCTGTGCGTGGGGCAGGTGAGGTCTGAAACGCAGGTTGAGGGAGCTGGGCTCGTTCAGCCCGGAGAAAAGAAGGCTGCAGGGTGACCTCAGTGCAGCCTGTGGTACCTAAAGGGAGCCTGCAAACAGGAGGGGAGTCAGCTCTTGGAAAGGGGAGATGACAGCAGGACGAGGGGAAATGGTTTGAAGTTGAGGGAGAGAAGATTTAGATTGGATGCCAGGGGGAAATTCTTTGCTATGAGAGTGGTGAGGTGCTGGAACAGCTGCCCAGAGAGGCTGTGATGCCCCGTCCATCCCTGGAGGTGTTCAAGGCCAGGTTGGATGGGGCCCTGGGCAGCCTGGGCTGCTGTGAAATGCGGAGGTTGGTGGCCCTGCGTGTGGTGGGGGGTTGGAGCTTCACGATCCTTGAGGTCCCTTCCAACCCTGGCCATTCTGTGGTTCTGTGACCTGCTGTAGGTGGGATGTAGGGCTGTGTAGGGGTACACGAGTTCCTATAAGGCTGCACAGCTACTTGCAGCCACCACACAGGCACGGGTAGCCTGTGCACAAACCCGCCATCCTGCAAAGCATCCTCTCCTCCAGTACCACCCTGGTCTAAGTGAGCCTGCTTTGGCATAGCGATTGGACTCGATGATCCCAAGATGTCCCTTCCCACCCCTACAGTTCTGTGATCCTCCTGCACACCCAATGCATCACATCCCAACCCAGCAGAGCTGGCACGCACACATCCCCACCTCCCCGCCCATCTCTGTGCAGCCCCTGAGCTCAGCCCTCACTGCAGGTGCTGGAGGAAGAGCCCTACTACCACTTCCAGCACCGTGGCTCCAGGCAGACGTCCCTGAGCAGACACTGGGGCTGGAGCCTGCGGCTGAGCAGGGAGCCACAGGTAGGGGCTGGGCTGCACCACGGACCCAGGGCAGGGTGTAGGATGACTCTATGGGAACACACACGGTGCCTACAACGCTGCTTCCCCCTCCAGGTTCTCTGGTTTGAGCAGCAAACGGTGAAGAGTCGCGCCAAGAGGAGTGTCAGCGTGGTGCCCA